AATTTATGGAGACTTAGTGGCTGGAAAATGTGATCCTAATTTTTTATTGCATGATAGATACAGGAATTTGTCTTTTTCCGCTCAATACGTCCCTCCCACTGGAAGTAATCTTGGAATTACATTCGACTGGTATAGTGGGTAATTTTGAAGAGATAAAACAATTACAATGGTGGAAGATTGATTTTGTTGGCCAAGCATAAAAAGAGATGTGGCTAGAGTAGCTACTAGATGTCCTATCTGTTAAGTATACAAGGGAAAGAAACACGTTACTAGCTTATACCCCATGACCTTGGACAGATATAAGCATGGACTTCTTACTTGGTTCCCTCCAGTATTTATGGTAGTAGATCATTTTTCTAAGATGACTCATTTCATACATGTGTAGAGACTTCTGATGCATCTAGGTTCTCTAAACTATATTTTAGAGAAGTAGTTTGCTTATTTGGACTTTCCCTAGTCATTGTTTCTGATCGTGATGTAAAATCTATGAGCTGCTTTTAGCGTACTTTATGGAGAATGTTGAATACCCAGCTCAAGTATTCTATGCCTTTTCATACACAAACTGATTGATGAGCTGAAGTTGTCAACAGGAGCTTGGAGGGCCTCTCTCTTTGTGTTAGAGATCACATTAACAATTCCTGATTTTATGATTCAATCAAATCTTAAGCGTCATATCTAAGAATTCTATGTGTGACATGTAGGTTTTTTCTAAATTTCTGGATAGATAAATTAACTCTAGATTATGTTTCTATTAGTAATTGATGACACATAGGCATAATCAAAATTTATTATTTAAGAATTATATCATTTAGGTATAAAATTATTTTTATATTTTCCAATTTATGTTTTGTTTTTCATCTTTATTAAGAATAGTATTTATAATCTTATTAGTATTGATATTTCTTAGTCTATTCCTATTTGAAAAATGTTACTTGGCACTCTATGAATACCTTTCTAGTCTTCTTTAAGGTCATCATTCAGTTTTTCAATAAAACACTTCGAGAATTTCTCAATACCTAATTCTGTGATTCAATCAAATGATAGACATGGTATCTGAGAATACTAAAGTGTGATATTTATGTTTTCTCCAGATTCCGAAGTAGGCAAATTAATGCTAATTTGTCTTACATCAATGGTGAACTCTTGTTTCATGGCTATATTTTACTTGCTTCCTGTTCTTGTTTCTGATTTAATAATCTTTCGTATAATAAATGAGAGAAAACGAAAATGCAACAAGATTAATGAAGGCTGTGCCATATGTTAATAATGTTCTGTAGATTTTCTTGAACTTAAACCTATGTTAGTTGAAAATTTAGGGATTTAAGACAAATGTTTTTCATATCATGTTGCCCAGGATTCACTGACATGACATATCCCTGGGTATCGAAGAATCACATATTCGAAATTCAAAAAGAATGGGATTCCCAAAAACTATTAATTGAG